GGTGTGTGTGTGTGGCAGGGGAGGGCTGGGGATCCATAGGATGGTAAGAAAGGAAGACAGAGAATGGGAGAGGCCACTCTTTCTCTTTTTATAAAATTATTTTAATTTTTATTTTACTTATTTATTTTTATGTGGTGCTGAGGCTCAAACCCAGTGCTTCACACATGGTAGGCAAGAGCTCTTCCTCTGAGAGGCCAGCATTAATCCCCTCCAAGGGTGATGCCCTAATGGCTGAATTACCTCCCACAAGGCCCCACCTCTTAAAATTCTACCACCTCTCAACATGGTAACTTCACAGCAGGAAGGTAAAACTTACAGTACATGAACCTATGGGGGACAAATCATATCCAAACCAGAGCAGTGAGTACAGGAGAGGAGGTGGAGCAGTGGGAGGAAGAAAAGAAGAGAAAGGTAAAACGAAAGGATAAAACTTAATGTCATTTTACCAAAGCCTAGTAGCCAATGATCTCTACAAACTCAGTTTGTAGATTTAAAAAAAAAATTTTTTTTTTTTTTTTAAAGTACTGGGAACCCAGGGCCTAACATATTAGGTAAGCAATGACCTACATCCTCAACCCTTTTAAAATGTATTTAATTTTTAGTTTTTTTGCGGGACTGGGATTTTTTTTTTTTTTTTTGGTACCGGGATTGAACTCAGGGGCACTCAGCCACTGAGCCACATCCCCAGCCCTATTTTGTATTTCATTTATAGACAAGGTCTCACTGAGTTGCTTAGCGCCTCGCCATTGCTGAGGCTGGCGGTGAACTCGCTATCCTCCTGTCTCAGCCTCCCGAGCCACTGGGATTACAGGTGTGCGACATGGCACCCAGTGGGACTGGGATTTTAATTCAGGGCCTCCTACGTGGTAGGCAAGTGATGAACTACAGAGATATTCCCAGCTATTTTTTTTTTTTTTTAACTTTTCATTTTGAGACAGGGTCTTGCTAAGTTGCCTAGAGTGGCCTAGAACTTGTGATCTTACTGTCTCATCCTCTCCAGCAGCTGGAATTACTGCATGCATCACTGTGCCTGGCTTCAGTTTCTATTTTTTCAAATATACCCACTCCAATTAATCCTATTCCATTTTCCATTTTTTCCATTCCTTTCCAACCATCCACTTATTTTCCTTATTGGTGGTGAAAAAGGAATTTGTTCATGCATTTGTTTGTTCACTCACTCAACAAATATTTAAAAATATCTACAAAGTGCCAAACTGTGTGGGGCACTGGGCATAGACAGCTTCCATTCTAGTGAAAGACAGTGATCGAGGTGTAGTCATAGATGCCATAACTAATAGAGCTCAGTGGGTTAATACAATAAATGTCTCATATCTGTTAAGTTTAGAGTTCCATACAGGTGTTTTTGGCCCAGCCTATTTCTGAGTGCTCATTCAGAGTCATACTTCTGCTCTAAGTCCACCGGCAAGAACTAGTCACATGGCCCTGGCTAAATGCAAGGGCATCTCTGGAAAACACAGTTCCCAGCATGGAGAATGGGCCTTTGGTGATTAGCAAGCTGACTGTCACATGGGGAAAAACAGACAGCTACTGAATAAACAAACTACTTATTATGTTAGAAGGTGTTAAGTGCTTTGGAGAAAAATAAAGCAGGGAAAGAAATATAGAGTCTGTAGAAATATTTTAATTTTAAATAGAATGGTGACAGAGGGGCTCACTGGAGTGAGGAGTTGAAGAAGGCAAAAGTGTGACTTGTGGATCTTAAAAAGGCCATTGTGGCTGTCGCAGAGCACGGGTGACAGAGGATATCAGAGAGAGGAGAGGAGGCGGACTATGTAGGACTATGGTTTCTCCAGAGAGAGAGAGAGAGAGAGAGAGAGAGAGAGAGAGAGAGAGAGAGAGA